CACTTCTTCAGATGCCTCTGAAGAAGTGAGGTTCTTACCCACGAAAGCTTATGCTCCCAGTACTTCTGTTAGTCTCAAAGGTGCCACAGGACCCTCTGTTGCTTTTTACAGAGGGGTAGAGAGACAGAGAGATGGGGGAGCACAAGGTAACAGTGAGACAGTAGTGGTCAGCATGAGAGGGTGTCTGGTCTCAGCACACCTGCGGCCTCACCCCGTCAAGTTGTTTCTTGGTGTCACCGCCACCACCACCAAAGCTACCTCTGGGTGGGGAAATGGGCCATTTTCATTACCACTACAAACAGTTCTTTTTCTCTCCTGCTGATAAAAGCTCACCTTAACTGATCACTCTCCTTAGAGTGTGTGTGGTAACACCCATTGTTTCATGTTCTCTGTGTATATATATATCTTCCTACTGTATTTTCCACTACATGCATCCGATGAAGTGGGCTGTGGCCCACGAAAGCTTATGCTCAAATAAATTTGTTAGTCTCTAAGGTGCCACAAGTACTCCTGTTCTTTTTGCAGATACAGACTAACACGGCTGCTACTCTGAAATCTGGGTGGGGAGTCATCAAGCCACTCCTCTTCTTGTCTTCGCTGGTTCGTTAGCTTCATCTTCTTTCTAGTTTGTATTGCTTGATAATTGAATCCAGGGTCCAGTGTAATCCCATCACATCTTTGGGTCCTGGAAAGGGCTCCCTATAGCATGTGCATCTGGCTGCAGGTTCACGTTGGCCAATGTCAGCGACAACTTTGGATAACAGGAGCCTCTGCGACTCCTGAACTGTCCCAGCCCAAGCCCAAAGCAAAGGAAAGTGGCTCTTAGCTCCATTTCTGGTCATCCAGCCCCAGTGATGGAGCTCCCAGGACTTGGTGCTCTGGGGACTATATGAAGTTGGTCCAGTGTACTCATCAAAACGCAACACAAACTCCTGCAGGCATGTCTGCCACTGTTCTGTTCACCTACTCCATCAGTGCCCGTACCAAGAGCAATATCAACCAGGCCTTTTCCTCTCCAAAAATTCGTTTTCAGCATAATGCTGCTACCAATACCAAGATACAGCTTGGGATATCATCCACTATATCACATCCCCTTTATATGTAATATAAATTTGAGTTATAAAATAATCCATAGCTCTTATACAGCACTTTTAATCAATGCATCTCAAAGCACTGTACAAAGGAGGTCAGTATCATTATCCCTATTTTACAGATGGAGAAACTGAGGCACAGAGCGAGGACGGGTCTGTGACAGAGCAAGGATCAGAACTCAGGTTTCTTAAATTGCAGTCTAGTGCTCTAGCAAGTGTTCCACCCTGACTTTCAAGGCTGCAGGGAACCTCTATGCAAATATCATAATTAATCTAATTAACATCCCCTCCCTTTAACTTTCCCCCTCTCTCCTCTTCTAGAGCCAGGAATAGAACCCAGGAGTCCTGACGACCAGCCCCTGCCCACTCCCCAACACACTATACCTAGGGCTGCGAGTCTGTCACAGATTCTGAGACTTTCCGGGACCTCTGTGACTTCTGCAGTGGCTGGTGTGGCTGGCCTGGGGGCCACCCAAGCAGCTCGGGCAGTCTGTGGGCCAGCCACACCAGCCGCTGCTGGGGCAGTCTCGAGCCACTGCGCACCCGCCTCTGAGTAGCAGCGGGGGTCCCAGGCTGCACGCCGCTGTCCCCCCAAGAGCACCCACGCACCCCTGAGCCGCCACCCCCAGAGCACCCAAGATTTACTCAGGGATATGTAGTACAAGTCATGGACAGGTCACAGGCCATGAATTCTTGCTTACTACCTATGACCTGTCCATGACTTTTACTAAAAATACCCATGACTAAAACGTAGCCTTAACTGTACCCCATTCTCCTCCCAGAGCCAGGGACAGAACTCAGGTGAGGGGAGTGGAATCTAGTGGTTAGAGCAGGGAGCCAGGCCTGCATATGGCAACCCCAGAAGAGAAAGCGATTGTAGAGAGATACCTTTTTTAACCTGGAAACAAGAATCAGAACAGGAAATAGATAATTATGTTAAAGAGCTGAGAACACAGGCATCCATATGTAACTCTGGAGACATTAAAGATTCCCTAAGTAGAGACAGGATCATTTGTGGGACACATGATTCCAGCTTATTGGAAAGATTGTGGAAAGAAACCGATCTAACCCTAGAGAAATGCCTCCGAACAGCAAGGGCAACTAAACTGTCTGGGGAAGGAGCAAAACAGTGACAGTCACTGGTGCAGACCAAGTACACAGGCTCAAGCTAAAGGAACCCAGGAAGCAGGACAGAGACATACCGGCCAAGAATGCAGCCATCATGGTCCAGTGAGTGGCATGAAAGGCAGAAAGGAAAATGCCCAGTCTATGGACAATGGTGCAAGGGATGTGGAATATAGAACCACTTCGTGTCTCCATGCCAGTGTATGTAGTGACTAAGGATGTAGAGACTTTCAGTGGGGAAGAGGAGATCTACAGTATAACTTTAGCAGGTCCAGAGACACTCACTCAGTGTCCATGCACTGCAGGAGAAAGCTGCCCACCATTCAACTGCCATATTTGCAACTATGCTATTGGATCGACAACCGATTGGACTCCAGCTGGACTGCAAAGCCAGCTGCAATGTAATCCCAGCAACAATGATGAGCACCAATATTAGACTGGAGGAATGTGACTAAGTGCTGGAGGCTAGTGGGCAAATGCAGGTGCTTGATAAGAAACCCACGAGACAAGAGACATTGCTTGGAGCTCACAGTAGTTGATATACAGAAGCACCACCCGCTGCTGGGCAGTACAAGCCATGGATCTGATAATAGCACAACACGAGAATACCTTCAACGTGTGAAAGGAGGAAGAACAGTCACTGGGAGCTCTATCCAGCACTATATCAGAATATCTATATAATAAGATTCCACAATTGTCACGTGTGTGTGTGTGTCACTCGGAGGCCTACACTGTCTGTGGAGTCAGTGTGAAGGGATGGAAGCAGCTATAAGCATGGCTGTGAGCTCTTTTGGTTCAGAATATCACCAGGTTCGATCATCACTGGGTTTCGCAGTTTGTTACT